AGAGCATTCCTTTATGAGGAACAGGGCCAAACCCCCAGGACCCAGGGATATTTGCATGTTCACACTCCTCTTGTGGGTGAAATCAGTTTTATAAGAGCCCAGATATTTTTCACTCGGGAAACAAATCAGGCTCAGCCAGTCACTGTGTGACCTTGGGTAATTTACCTTATCTCTCTGAACTGCAGCTTTCTTGTGTGCCTTGCCCCAGAAAGGTTCTGTGCTACCTCTCTAGGACTACCAGGGAGAGTAGAGATGGTGTGTGTGCATGTGCGTGTGTGTGTGGGGGGGGGGGGGGGGTCTGGGGCATAGTACTTAGCAAGTGGCAGCTCCTACTACTACCCTTCTCTGATGCTGCTTCCGAGCCCCTTCCTTCCACTGTTCAGATGACAAGCTCCTACTCACTCTCAATGCCCAGAATCTACTAACCCTCCTCGCCACCTACAGCAACCCGTTTCATCATTAATGCGCTACAAAAAATTATGGGGTGGGGAGGGTGGTCACTTCTTTTTTTTTTAAGTCCCCATTAACATAAACTCAGGTACATACACAGTAAGTACTGGCTATCTCTTGAATAGGTGCACGCATGCCAAGAAATGTCTCTTGAAGTCATTCTTCAGCCATAGTGTTTGCATCTTCAAAAGAAAACATGAAGTCAACACTGAGGGAGTTGGGAAATATCCCAAGAGGCTCACATCACAAGATCCTGCCGGGCCTCCAAGGCAAAGGATCGCTGGTTCAAAAGTACCCATAGAAGATATTTTGCAACACCCAAGAGTCTTACACATTCCAGGAGTTAAAAGATATTTACTTGCAGTTCCAGTTAAAAAGAGGATTGAGGGTCCCCAACAGTGCAGGACTCTGAAGTCACAAGCAAAATCAAATGCACAAAACCGATACATACTGGGAGGGGCACCCAGAAAAGCCAGATCTGCTAGGATCATATCAGAGCCTCAAGGACACTGCAAACCCTTCCCTCCCACTTCAGCTTTTTGAGGTCAGAAACCCTGCACCGGGCCTGTTTGCTAACGTAGTATATAACATGTCACATTTAAGAATACAAGCAGAAATGCGGGCACTGTTTTAAATACTCACAACTGGATGTGTTAAAGTGGAGAGACCTCCAAACTACTCTTCTAATCATGAGATATTTTAGTACTGAAAATTCTGTATGAACAGAAGTCTAAGAAGTCTGTGGAGCCTTTTCTCTTGCAATACCAAAATGGCAAGAAACACATGCTTCCGTGTATGGTGACTTCTGGGTGGGTATTTTAAGACCTCCCAAAGTCATCTTAGAAATACTGGGGATTGTTATGGAAATAACGTTGAGGAGTTTAAAAAGAATCATTGATGAGTGATTTAAAGAATCAAAGTTATAAAAATATAGACCAGTACTTAGGAATTTATAGAAATGAAAAGATTTAAAAATATTTTGTTTTCTCCCACATACTGTTATTTAAAAATAAAAAACTAACGAGAAGGATACTTATTTGTTTTACTTTTAAGACAAATTGACCTAAACGAAATTACCACAGTATAAAAGTCACTCAAAAAGTAGAAAACAAACGACCACGGAAAATTCCAAAGCTCCTGACCCTGTCATGTGTTTGGGGGCAAAATGAGGAAAACTCCTGGAAAAGGCCATTTTTCAGTGAGTACCCTTTCTCTCCTCATTCCACAGCAGTTCTTTCCAATGCACATGTAAACATGTAAACACTCCTGAGAATGTGGACCACATGGGAATAGAAGTCTGCAAAGGCTCTAGGATTTACGACAAAGCTCATACTGGTATCCAGAACTAGCCCCAAGGAGTTAACCTGTGGAGTCTGCAGCCTCCTGACTGGCCTTGATCTGGGGAATCCATATTGTTACACAAACCAACTCAAAACTAACAACATTGGAAACACAAAGCCCACTTTCAGAACCAAGCACAGTCAGACCAACTGAAATGTACCCATCAGTTAAAAACAGCCCAACACACACACACACACAGGCCCCAGCAAAACACCAGCATCTCTCCAGGGAAATACCTTCCCATCTTCTCCTTTCTGGTGCTCCACAGGCTTCTGTGTTCCTGGCAATTTTTTCTTCTCCCATTTTAATACATATTTCAATTGCAAGGAAGTTCTGCCAGGTAAAGGTCACCCTTAAACAAAACTGGGAATCAGATGAAAACCAAGTCATCTTTTCCAGTTCACATCCATGTCACATGATCACATCAACACGCTGGGGAAGAAAAATGGATGTTGTATTTCCCAAACTGTCAGATGATTCTAAACCAGCCAAAACAACAGAAAAGCTAAACCTCTAAAACCAATGGTGGTGGGTTCCTGACTAGGTGCTCCTATCACAATAACATCCTTCCTACCTGTGTGTAATGAATCCCCAGCCCCTAGGATAGACACACGGAGACAAACCAAATGAGAACAGCAAAACGTCTTCTGTGAAATTGGTCTACTGCTCTTCCATGGCTCCAATGACAACGTAAGTCTTTCCTTTCTTCAGGTCTTCCATAACAAACAAGTTTCAGTCACATACATGACCGCCAGAGATGCTCCCAGCAGGTCACAAATGGGGCTTTCAAGCAACTTTCACTTAGCAACACAATCGTATGCCCTGCATGCAACCTCACACAGAACCATCCTAGGGTGCTCGCACTCCCTAAGAGTCTTTGGGAAAGAGATCTTTGAAACCATCACCTTCTCCAAGCGCACACCTCCTCTAGACTTGAGGTCACCATCCAAAGGCCATCGCTGGGCACTGAGAAAAGGTACATGCTGAAGTCGAATCCAGCTTGCCAGTCTCTGCAGCCACCGATCTCAGACTAGGCTCTCCTTCCCCAGGGGCCTCAGGGACCACAGCCCTTGTCAGGTGCCTTCCCTTGCCACCTACAAGGCAAAGCTGACCTTTTCCTTTTGAGTAATATCCATATAGAGAATACTGCAGAGGTCGGTTGTTTTGTTTTGACTACTGCTGTGGTTCTTATTTTTGTTAATGTTAATTACAATTTCTGCTGTGCTCAAACCTGTAGCTCTCATAAAACATGCTTACACACGCGGGGGACAATTGGCGGGTGCTCCCTGCTGGCTGGAGCCAGGCCTCGGACGCTCTTTGGGGGATCGATTTTCCGGGCAGGGTGGCCTAGCTGTCCCCTAACACATATGTTTCTATAAATATCCACTACCCCTGGGGTTGGGAGGAGATGTTTACCGGGTCAGGGGAAGGGAGCTCTGGGAAGCAGAGATGAAAAAAAGAGAGGGGGAGGAAAGCCGCAAGGAGGAAGTTCCCAGGAAAAGGAGCTCTGGGGTAGGCGGGCTCCAGAGGGAAGCGAGGGGCCTACGCCACGAATCTCCTTTGTGGCATCAGCACCGGGCTCGCCCAAGTTGCATAGGGAGGCGTCGAGGACAGGCCCCTGCCAGGGGCGTGGAGCACTCGGCCCTCTCTTCCCACAGTTAGGACCCCACAAGCCCAGGGTCTGCCTGCTGCCCTCCCGGAGCGGGGTCTCACCGTGTGGGCTGCGGTGGCAGCGTTGCTGGCCCGGAGAGGCGGCAGGGCGATGGGAGAGGGCGGGCCGGTCCCCACTCCGCTTCGGGGAGCCCCGGCGCCGATCCCCGGGGAAGCCTGAAGCTGGCGAACGGCGGTGTCCCCTCCTCGGCCTGGGAGCCACGCGCGGGAGGAGACAAAAGAGGGTCAGGGAAGGGAGAAGAGAGCCACCCAGACCCCCGCCCCCGCCCCGGTGTCCAGCGAGCACCCTCTTCCCAGGAGAAGATGGCAGGAGACACCCGGCCCGGGAAATGCCGGCGGCGTACGGGAAACGAGGGGGGTCGGGACGCTGCTCCCCGGCGCGCAGCCGCCAGCTGCAAAGTTAAGTTCGCGACCCGGCTGGGAGCAGCGCTGAGCCAGAGATCCGTGGCCCACGTCGCCGGGCCGGGGGAGGGGAGGGTGGGCCACCGAAAGGGCGCAGCGACCGACCTGGCCGCACTCCGGACGCCCCTTGCCCAACCTGCCGGATCCTGGGATCCCTGGAAACCCACGCGACCGCCCGTGCCCAGCGTCGCCGACAAGGTCCGGGGAGCTCTTACCGGTCGGGTAGGCGGCAGGAGCGGCGGCCGAAGGTTTCCTGGTTAACATGGCCGCGGGAGAGGAACGTGCATGGCAGGGCTGCCCTCGCCGCCGGTCCCGCCGCTACTCGTCGCCGCCGCCGCCGCCTCCTGGTCGCCCCTCACGCGGGTCCCCCGCGCCTTGTCGCCTCCTCGCGCCCGCTACAGCCAGACACACACAGTCCGCTGCATCCCCTCGGCCCGGGCCCGCCGCCGCGAGCCCCCCGCTCTCCTCCTCGCCGCCGCCGTCCCCCTCGTCCTCGGGCGGCTGCTGTACCCCCCGGCCCGTGCACATGCCTCGCCCTCCCCTGCCGCACCGCTGGCCTCCCCGATTCCCTCACATCGGGGCCGCGGGGAGCAGGCTGCGGCCGCCGGGACCCACTCACTCGGGAGCCTCCTCCCGGGCCCGCGCGCGTCCGCGCACACTCGCACACACGCTCGCACCCGCGGCTCGCTCCCGAGAAGGCCAGCCCCGCCCCCGACGAGGCCCCGCCCCGGACTCCCCCGGCCCAGCCACACAGGCTCGCTGCCACCCCACCCCCACCCGCCACCCCGGGAGTCCCTCCCCCTCCGATCTTCCGCAGAGCCGCCCTCCGCTCCCGGGAAAACTGCGGCTCCGGCTCGCCCTCCGCCTCCCCTGCGGCCATCTGCCCGCTCCCCGGGTCCCCCGCGCCCCTGCGACGCCCCTCCCCGCACTGCCGCGCAACCTACCGCGGCCAGCCTCCTCCAGAAATTGCTGCAGAGACCCCTCCTTCTCTTATCACGCCCCTAAACACCGCTCCTAATGGCTGCTCCCAGACAATACTGTGCCCCCACCCCGCCGCCCCCGTCCCAGCGCCTCAACCATCCCCTCTCCCCCATTTAATCATGGAGAGAACTTAGTTGTATAAGGGTCACCTCGGAAAGTCAGGCCCTGAGGAGGGATTGCGGCTGAGCCTGGTGACCCAAGCATGGACGAAGGAAGGGGCTGCCCTGCCACCTCCCGCTGGGCCACACACGCCCTCCCTGATTTACTGACACCAAGTGACCGCTGCCCTCCAGTTGCTAGGACAAGGGGAGTCAGACGGGCGCCTGTAGACCGCAGCTGGGGTAGCAGTTGGCGATGGGTTGCTAGGCAAAAATAAACATCAGAGACACCTCCCATTTCTTTACAACTCCTAGCCTCTCCCCAGCACCGCCACTGGGAGAGACACGACACACCTTTTCAGCAGCTATCGGCGGTCCACAAGGGTAGGACACCTTTGGTTTCTCTTCTCCTTGGAGGAAAAGATCTTTTTCTTTTTACCTTCCTAGACATGTTGAGATTTTCCCCGTCCTTTTCGTGTGTGGTCTACAGCCTCTGTTTCCCAAGAAAAACAAAAATTTGCTTCCGTGTCTCACACCTGTGCTTTGTTGTGCATGGCACACTTGTGCACCTTTGTCCACTTCAACAGTCAGGTATGAGGGAAAGTTCAAGGAATCCTAGCAGACAGGAAAGAAAGTTAAACCACCGTGCATGCACTTCCTTTCTGGAAGGTGCCTAGTTTCTGAAGTGCTCCTGCAGTCTCCGTCCATTCTTTGCTGTCCTGCTCCTTGTGTCTCCAGTTGCCTGGATGATGTAGGAGTGCAGGCCCGGACTAGTGCAGACTTCAGTCTAGAGGGAGCTACCTCCCGCAGAGTTCCATGGGCTCTGTTGTTTGCACATTGTCATAGCAACCTCCCACAAAGATCACCTCAGCTTTATACAAATGCCAAAAGAACCATTCCACAGTACAGTGTGACCCTCTCAGGCAATACCGGGAGGGCTCGCAGATGTAGAAATCCTTGGTAAAAGGAATTCCACTTTCGGAGAGATAGACAGACAGACACAAAGAGAGGGAAGCAGACAGAGACTAACTTCCTCAATTTCCTTCCTTCCGTCTTCCCTCCCTCCCTCCTTCCTTCTTTCCCTCCTTCCCTCCCTCCCACCTTCCCTTCCTTCTTTTTCATTCCTCCTTCTTTTGGGGTCCTTTCCCAAGAAAGTAGAGCCACAGTAGTGTATTAATAACCAGTTCATGCTCACCATACCTTTAAATGAATCGTGACCTAAATTTCCCCAAGCAAGAAATCCCTCCCTGGGCTTATCACAAGTGTCTATCTACATTCAAACCCATAGGGAGAGCTTGTGTAGAGTTCAGAATTAACTAACGGAAAAGGGCTACTGAGTAGCAGAAACAAGGCTACAATGTATTTGAGACTCTCAGTGTGGTTTCACTTTTGTTCCCCTCGCAGTCACTTTTTTGTATGTGTGTGGTTTTTTGAGACAGGGTTTTGCTGTAGATTTGGAGCCCATTCCAGAGCTAGCTCTTGTAGACCAGGCATCGAACTCACAGAGATCTGCCTGCCTCTGTCTCCTGAGTGCTGGGATTAAAGGCCTGAGCCCCTACCTCTAGGCTACCCTAAGCACTTTCAAGATAGCTCACATAGCTTTCCCCCTTCCTCTTTCTAAACAATTATTTTCTTGCCCTCTCCCTTGTTGGGTATTCTATACTACTGATGTTCAAAACATGGCTTTAAAAAAATCAATTTCAGTATCAAATTATCCATACAATATTTCAAACACCATTGCTTTTACATAAATAAGCTATATACCAAAGTAAGTAGGCTAGTTTGAATTCCAAATTAATAGTATTCATGGATTAAAAATAAGGGGAAGGGAACAAAATTTTTAAAAAGAAACAAAATGATTGGCATTAAAGGAAAAGATATACATCATGTTTGGTGAAATAGACTATCTTTTGCTTTTTGACAATTTCACAATACAAATGGTATTGATTATATCCACCCCAACTTTCCCCATCCTATACCCGGGATCCAAGCTGTCTCCCATGCACCCTGCCCCCACCAACTCCTAACAAGTGCTGCTCCCTCTTGACCTCTCCTTCTGTGCTTTTTTGTTTGTTTGTTTGTTTCCTGTAAGCCAGTGAATCCAGCTAGCCCTGTCTGATAAACCATGAACTGCTCTTGTCTGGGGTGGTTGTGCAGGTAACATTGCTCCTAGGGATTTATGGGTGTAATGACCACACCATGTCCAGCAGAAAGCATTTCACAGCTTTCTTCCCAACCCTCTAACTCTTCCAGTCTTTCTGCCCCATCTTCCAAGATGTCCTTGGAGCCTTGGAGGCCAGGGCTGGTAAGGATTCCCCATTTATAGCTAAGTGACACTTATTCTCAGTGCTCAGTTGCAGGATTAACTGCGGATCACAGATGTGAAACTTGATTCAGGGCAAGGACTTAACCACACTATGAATAAAAATGTAACTATTGAGAAGCAGTTTGACAATGTGTCAATTTAGCGAGACAATTAGTGGTAGGGTTCTCCTTAGGAAGTAGGTTTCCCCAAGACACATTGTTCCTGGCAGATTAATATTGTAGCATGCAGGGTTCATTGTTATGTAATATCACTGATGGCACTTCTTCTCCAGTGGTCTGTATACAACCTTCTAGCACTGCAAAAGCTAGCCAGCAGGGGAAATATTTTCAGGTCAGTTCCACCGTGACTGTATCCTACAATCAAAGTGTCTTGTGTCTTCAGCAGTAAGCTCTTACTCCAGAGTTCTGATGGGCAATCATGAGCAATGACAATGACCTATGTTGTTTTGGGTGCCTCTGGGGTCTCCTGACCAATAAATCAATAGGAACAGAGATAGATGGTAGGTAGGGAAGTAGATAGGTAGGTAGATAGGTAGATGATAGATATATTTAAAGTTTTTGCAGTTTTGGTGGCTGAGCCTAGGACAAACACCCCTACAACTGATCTATACCCTGACCTGGGTTGTTGCTTTTTTTTTTTTTTTTTTTTGTCTGTTAATCTGTTGTTTTTCTTTTTTAACTTTTTATTTTGAGACAGTCTCGCTGAGTTGCAGAGGCTGGCCTTAAACTTACTCTGTAGTCATGCAAACCTTAAGCTTGTGGTCCTCCTCCAGAGTAAGTGGAATTACTACTCTACACCAAATAGGCCAAATTTAAGATATTATTTTGTGGCAGACCAAATGTGATTTCAATGGAGTGTGTGTGTGTGTGTGTGTGTGTGTGTGTGTGTGTGCATGCTTTGGGGAAATTTGCAGCCAACCTAATTTTTGGCTATTTTGATTATAAATGGCATACTTTTGAAAACCCTATTAATTCTTACTGAGTTCTAAAGCTTGTAACAGGAAGGCCACTTGTTTTTCCCAGCTGCCCAGAACTGAAATAACCACACAGAAACTATTAATTAAATCACGGCTTGGCCAATTAGCTCTATCTTCTTATTGGCTAACTCTATATTAATTTAACCCATTTCTTGAAGGCGTAAGTCACGAACAAGGCCACACCAGTTTGGAGTTATGATTAATAGGGTGTTATTTATTTAAAGGGGAAAACTTACAGATCACCGTCTCAGACAACAGCCATCTGCACAACCAGGAAGGGAGTCTAGTCTCCGGCGGAGCAGGAAGTGAAGAGAGCGAGCAGAGGAAATAGCCGCTTTTTTAAAGGGAGAGAGGCCACGCCCCAATGGGCTGGTATCACAGCAGCTATTGGTTGGAGGGGCGGAAGGACCTCCCGCAACAATTTCTATTAATCGGTATATCGCCATGTGGCAGTGGCTTACTGGGGAAAATTATCAGCGTCTATCTCTAATGGATCCATGGTATCTCTCCAACCCTGCTTTCTTCCTCCCACAATTCAGTTCCATCTTCCCTGCCTACCTAAGTTCTGCTCTATCAACAGGTTAGGGCAGTTTCTTTATTCATTAACCAATGAAAGCAGCACATAGACAGAAGGACCTCCCACATCATTTGCTTTCCCTTGTTCTGTTATGTGCTGGTGACCCAAGGCTTGATGACTGTCCAATAGAAATATAGGCTTTAGGGAAACTCAAAAATTCTGGGAGATACTGTCCCTGAACTGTATCAGTAGTAATTATACTATATAATCATATGATACTTGTATCTCTTCATTAAATGCTGTAACTAATACTTAATCTTCATAATCTGCAAGCAGACCAAAATTGACTTGACTTTAGACAGTAGCCCTCTCAGGGGCTCCATCCAGTTAGCAACCCTGCTTTTTGACTTTTGCCCATTGTAGATCATGTATGTGTTCTGGAATGTTTATGATCTCCAAAGCCAAAATTACAAACAGGTAAGCAGATATTAGCAAGAGGAGAAAGGGGAGCTCATGGGAATTTAGAACTGTAGCTGTAGAAAGAAAGTGATTTTATACTGGGAAAAAATACCTATCACAGGACACAAAATGTCAATGAACAAGAAAATGGCTTCCAAGCACCCACTCTCTTTCAATTTCTTTATTCCAGAAGCATTTTCAAGGAACTTAGTTATATGCTAGGCATCGAAGACAAAGGAATCATCAGACATAGCAGGCTAGATTTTAGTCTGATAATCTGTTAGGACATTTCTTTATTAATTTAAGCAAAAAAATGGTAATCAACTAGCATCCTTTGGACACCATTAGTGGTGGGCTGCTAATGCCTGGATGCTTATGTCTCCCCAGAATGCATATATTCTGATCCTAGCCTCAGGAGGTGTGTCTTTAGTGGGTGATTTAATCCCAAGGGCATGCATTCACTTCCCTCAAGACTGAGAATAGCACCTTTATCCAAGAGACCCCAGAACTCTTGTACCCTTTCCACTAAATGGGTCTATAGTGAGTGGTACCATCTGTGAATCAGAAAACGAGCCCTTGCTAAACACTGAATCTGCTTCCCCTTTCCTCTGGAGTTTCCAGATTCTGGAACTGGGAAGAATGAATGTTTGTGCTTGTTTAAGGCAATAGAGTTTCTGGCATTTTGTTATAGCATCTAGGACAGTTAGCAAGGCATCAGTGCCTGTGAGAACCCTGTTTAGAATCCAATGGCTGGCAGGAGAGAGACCACTATTGGGAGGTGGCAGGGCCTTTAAGACATGGACTGATGGAAGAAATTGGGTCCTTAGAGGCCTGTCCTGTGAGTGGATGCTGAGACCCCAGTCTCCTCTTATTTCTGTCTGCTTCCCCAACTTAGTGGTGGGGAGTTTTGTTCTGCTACATATTTATCACCATGGTGTCACATCTTACCATGGACCAAACAACCACAGACTGAGCCCTCTGTAACACTGAGCTTAAATAATTTCATTTTCCTCAAGATATTTACCTAAGGCAATTTGCCACCCAAACAGAATGCTAACTAACAACACAGGGGAGAGAGAAAGTCATATCCTAGAAGATGAGGTGCTTTGCTTTAGTAAAAGTTCGTAGAGGACCAGGGAGATGGATCATTGGGTGAAGAACCTGCTAGTCAAGCATGAGAGCTTGTTCTTAGAATTCAGAATCCACACAAAGATGGGCACGGCGGCATGTCTGTAATCCCAGCGCTCTTACATGGACATGCAGGAGATGGAGGCAGAGGGATCCTGACAGAAGCTCATGTCTAGCTAGTCTGGTTTATGCAGTGCCAACAGCAAAAGACCTTGTCTCAAATAAGACAGAAGTAAAGGACTGACATGAAGTTTCCCTTTGGCCTCCATACGTATGTTGGAGCAAGCTCATGCCTGTACTAATTCATATATGAGAACATATACGCATGTAGGAGTGCATACATACACATGCACATGCTTAAATAATTTTATTTTATGTGTGAGGGTTTTGTCTATATGTATAAATATGTACCATGTGCATGCCTGGTGGCCAAGGAGACCAGAAAAAATTCATTGAATCCACTGGAACTGGAATTATAGATGGTTGTAAGTCACCCCAGAGGGGCTACAAACCAAACCTAGCTGGGCCTGGGAGAAGCTGAACCTGCAGGAAACCATGAAAGTCAGTGTGGAGCTTGCTGTTGGGAACTAAAGGTTGCGTCACAGAGAAAAGAGAGGGGAAGGGTCCTGTGGCTCAGGTTCCCAGAGTGTTTAGTGTCATTGACCAAAATTGATGATATCCAGTAGTGAGGAGCAGGTGAGGAGGAAGGAATCTGTCTGGGAGCATTCTTACACCAGATGCTGCTGCTGGCTTGTCTTAACACAGACTAAATAAAATTCACTGAATGGAACTAGTTTATTTTAGCTAAAGGTGGACAAGGCTCAGCCAAGGGCAATCACCCAACATTGGGCTGTCAGGACTTCTGGTAAAAATGAAACAACTCGTTGGTTCTGGTGTGTGTGTGTGTGTGTGTGTGTGTATGCTTATGAATTATTCTGGATCATGTACTGATTTGGCATTTGAAACAAACCAGACAAAGTCTTCCTTTACTTATCTTACAGTCTAGTGCTGTGGTTTTTAACCTGCGGCTTGCAACCCCTTTGGAAGTCAAACAACCCTTTTCCACAGGGAGGACCATCAGAAAACCCGGATATTTACATTACAGTTCATAACAGTGGGGAAATTACAGTTATGAAGTAACAAGAAAAACAATTGTATGGTGAAAATCACCTCGCCATAAGGAACTGTATTAAAGGGTCGCAGCATTAGGAAGGTTGCGAACCACTGCTCTAATGTGAGGAGAACCCACTGCTCATGTATCACATGTCAGGCGGGGAACAGTGCCTGCTGGAAGCTGAAGAGCAGATAAGGAGAGGGAAGACGGTTTCACTGATGCTGAGGCTCTCTGCTAGGGCATTTCTGTCAAGGCAACATTTCAGTAGATTTGAGAGAAGTGAGAAAAGTGAAAGTCTCTCAGAAGAGAACCTACCAGACACAAAGGTGGTTAGTCAGAAGCACATTTGGGGGACACAAAAGGAAGTCAGGTGACTGAATCAGCAAAGTGAAGTCAGCCTGAAAACCAGGTAGCAGGCCACATTATGAGAGTGGACCTTCCACTGGACACGTGAGAATTCAAAAAATGGGTCCTGAACAAGGCATTGAACCCAGGATGGAAGATGGAGGTTCAATTCTCTGTCTGTCTCTCTCTGTCTCTTTCTCTCTCTCTGTCCCCCCCAACACTGCAATTCTCATTGAACTAAATGTTATCTAAACATTATGCAGTATTAGGAACCATGTAGGTGTAAGCCATGGTCTCAGCTCTCAAGGAACTTTCTAGAGCAGAATAGGAGAGAAGACACCTTTAGCAAACACACCAGTTACACACTAAAGACTTGCCCTTTCTCTCAAACTTGCTCTCACTTCCACCTGTAGCGGGAGAGCTGATGGACAGCAGCAAGGGCTGTCTTTGACTCCCAGGCGATTGGACCAACAAGCTCTTAGCAGAGATCAAAGGGCCTGAGGACACTGAGGTCAACTCTCTATCTCCCTGAATCATCCTGTGTCAAGCCCACATCTTCCGTTTTATTTGTTCTGTATGCTAGGCATGGAGCCCTGTGCCTTGTGATACCCAGCTAGAATTTTACCACTAATCTACATTCCAGCCCTGGGTACACCCTTCATGGAAGACCTCAGCTCCTGTTGTGAAGCCTCTTGCACAGCTCTCCATTCTCTCTCAGAGTTTTGGAATCCATCCCATCCCCTTACCCCTTCAAGCCTAGAGGTAGCAATGCTTGCTGTCACTGACTCCAGGGTTCGTGATTTCCCTTTATCTGCATCCCTCTGCCCTATACTCTGTGCAGAATCCTTCAGCTAAGCAGACACGGTGTCATGTTTTGTTACACCATGTTCCGGCTGATAAAGATGGTGACTCATATAGTTCCTAGTTTGGGACTTTTGACTTTATGAGGGTGCAAAAGTGATATGAATCCAGTAGAAACTGAACTTTGAACTCTTGGGTTTTGTATCTTCCCTCAGGATGGTAGTGATATGTGCAGTAATTTTCTCAGCAGAATGTGCCACAGCGGTGAGCCACAGTTCCCAGGCAGGAGTGGCATCTCAAGGGTAAGACACTGGTATTCTTCAAGACACAGTGTGACTAAGCTACAGGGGTTTGCTAGATTAGGTAGACTTAATGTGTTTCTTGGCTTACAATATTTTCAGTTTAAAATGGGGTTTATCTGACTTTACCCTGATAACCAATCAAAAAGAGCCTCTCTAAACACAGTACCCTGCAGATTACAGAGGCTAAAGACCAGATAAGCACAAAAGACTAGAGAATATGGGTTCTTTGGAGTGGTCTGAGCAGATTCCTGCAAGAGGGAGAACTGCAACTTAGCTTAAGAAAATGGACAGACAGACTTTTCATAGGCAAGAGAACGGGTGTTCCACATCAAAGGACAACATAGTGAATGGGGAAGAGCCCAAGGAAGAATTACAGACAGAGATGCTTGCTTGTGAGTCAGCTTCACCACTGGCAGAATCCACAGGATAGCTGTCTCATGACGGCCAATGGTTGTTTTGTTCAGTTTGGGACATTTTAATCCCCAATCAATGCCCCTATTACTTTTGGGCCTGTGATGAGGACAGCATCAGGGTAACACTGTACGGTAGAGCAAGAGGCCCCTATCAGCAGCGAGAAGTGAAGGGACACACAAGGAAGGAGCTGATGTTGCAAGTTTTCTTCAAGGGAATTCAGCAGTGGCATCAGGCCCTCCCATAAGATGCAACCCCATAAAGCTTCCATCATTTTCTAACAGTTTTGGATAGTGCCATGCAGGAGACAAAGCCTGCAACACAGGTCCAAAATTTTATATATATATATATATATATATATATATATATATATGTGTGTGTGTGTGTGTGTGTGTGTGTGTGTGTGTGTGTGTGTGTGTATGAGACATACATTTAAGTTCCAAACTATAAAGCCAAGTATAGTGACACACACCTTTAACTCCAGCACTTGGGAAGCAGAGGCAGAGAGATCTCTATGAGTTCAAGGCCAGCCTGCTCTATACTGAGAGTTTCAGGACAGCCAAGGCTACATAATAATACTGTTTCAATAACCAAAACAAAACAAACAACACACACACCCCATACAATCACATAATATACAAACTGTAGCACTCACTAACTAAAGTGGAGAATGACATAAGGAAGGAGACACTGGGGAACAGGGTACATGGTACAATGAAGGCTGGAGAGAGGAGTTGATGCAGGGTGTAGACAGAGGTCACAGGCCATGAGTAGACTAAGGGAAAATGTAGAGCCCAGCCTGTGCACCAATTTGATCTCAGTGCTAAGCAGACTGGAGCCAAAAGCACCAGTTTGGACCATTTCCAGGAAGAACTGAGGGTGCTACCCAAATCAGTGACACCTCTGGGGTCTAGGAGACCTGCCTACATTTTGAAGCCAGGAGAGACCTAAAGAAGGCAGGCGGTTTCTATTTTGTTCTGTTTGTTTGTTTGTTTGTTTGTTTATTTATTGGTACCATATGCTGTAAGAACTGACATACTTCTTCAGCCTGCTTATCATAAAGCTCACTCCACAGTGACATGAAATATAATTGCAAGACAGCCAGCGAATAATCTTGGGCTGTGGCTCCTAGGCAGAGTGACTGTCTAGCCTGGGCTCGGCAGCCAACAAAGAGAAGAAAAGGTGCAGAATTCAGGGGTCCTGTTAGTTACAGCCTTTCCTAGTAGCCTGGGCACAGAATAGGAGGAAATGAGCCAAACGAGGGACAAGCAGTGTATGTGCCCTGGAGCCCTTCTGTGTTCTTGGTTCATGCAGAGGAAGGATTGGTGTCCTAGCTTCCTGCTGCCATTGTATCTAGAATGTTTAATTTTAAAGTAGAGTTAATGCAATTAAAATATGTAAAAATCTGAAGACCCCCCCTCTTCCATCTTGTTTTTAAAAGAACCAAAGGGAAGGTGGGATGGAGAAGATGCAGGGAGAGTAACATACTTAGGACAACCTTGGTCCCCTGGAAGCCCTGGCCCTAGAGTTCTCTAGAGTCCACTGCTCGTGGATGTGATACCTCCTGATATATGATTAAGTCCTCCAGCTCCAGGACTTTTGTAGGCTTCACCTACGAAAATAGCTTTGCACCTCTAAGAACTGGAACAAATTTGACTTTGTCTTTAAATACAGGTCCATTTTAAAGAAAGCACAGAAAAGTCCCGGTCATCACACCCTACACCTATCCCAAGATTCTTGAAATATTCCCAGATCTAAGGGCTTCTTAGACTGGCTTAGATGGGAAAGAGATGCTAAAAAACCTAAGGATAAGGGCCCTTCAGGAGTGCTCTCACAATGACACACAATATGTTTAACTTTATGACACTTGGCATTGACAGCTGTGGTGTCACTATGACAAAATACTTGACAGAAACAACTTTAGGGAGAACAATATTGTTTGGCTGATGGATTCAGAGGGCTGCAGCCTAAGACACAATGGAGTAACTCTGGTCATGGTGGCAGATGTCTGTGCTGGAGGACACCCACATCATGATGGACCAGGAAATACAGAGCAAGGCAGAAGCCAGGGACTGCCTGTAATACATACATACATACATACATACATACATACATACATGTGTGTGTGTGATGACTTTATGTCTTTAATGACTTTAATGACTGACCCAGATAGACTTCACCTACAAAAATAGCATCAATAGGTAGGTCCAAGTGTTAAAAACATGAACCTGGGGGCGGGGCAGTTAATAACAGTTTCCTTCAAGATCAAAACAATTCTATCCTGCAGAAAGGCTGACACTCGAAATAGCTTCAGGATGTCCCTGAAACTGGCGAGATTCACCTGGCCCCTCCTTGCCACAGTAAGTAATAAAAGCCGAGAGTGCCCCAGATCTAGGAGAGCCATACTGCGAAGAAGACTGAGACCAGACCAGGTGCCTGGAAAAAGCCAAAACCAGCCCAACCACCTGGAAGAGGTTTAGACCGACTGAGTCACTGAGGAAAGACACTTTCCATTCTGTTGAGCTGCCTGTAGGCTGTGCACTGTGCTCCAGGTTCCTAGCTTTGTGGGCCACATCATGATGGGGTGAGCTTTGGTGATGCAGCTGTCTGAGTCATTTCTGCTCCTGTAAGTAACCCCAATAAAACACATTGGTTCACCAAGCTGGCTTTGGCGGTGCCTGTACTCTGGTCTGCCACGGGTTCCCTATCTTGGCTGAGTAGATATGTGCTCTATATCTCCGGGAAAGGGTTTTGCACAACAGGGGTGCGTTTCAGATCCAAACCACAGCACGCTTACTGTGTTATCGTCTTATGTCTCTGCCTATATCGACCATCTTATGGAAGGGTACCATTACATACTATTAGTCCTTAAAGATAAGGCTGTCAGAGCAGAGAAGGGTTAGCTACCTTACCCAGACCCACAGCAAGAGTCTATATACTGCTGTTTTCACATTGGTCGTGACCAGCCAGCTAACTGCCGGCATTTCCTCCATCTCCTTAATACTGAGTAACGTTTTGGCACAGATGAACCCTCCGAGCAGTGCCTCATGTCTATGTGGCCACCTTTTTACCCCATTGCCCATGGCAAGCTTGCCTCACAGGTGTTCAATGAGGCACAAAGCATGAAGCTGCATGCTTATGTCATAGGTGTAAGAGAGGAGGCATTGGGTCAGACTTAATATTTTTTGGTGGCTAATAAATCAAATTTAAATTTTTATTACATTATTTATTTAGTGAGTGTGTGTGTGCGCATGTGTGTGTGCATTCATGTGTGCACATTGCCATGGCTCTGCATAAAGGACAAACTGTAGTAATTGGTTCTCTCCTTCCATCACGTGGGTCTCAGGAATTGAACTCAAATTGTCACATTTTGCTACAAGTACATTTTCTTGCTCAGCCATATTGCTGGTCCCTAAATTTTTATAAAATTCTCCAAGGATTCTTATAATCACATGCCATAGGCTGGTCAAGTTTGTGATGATGTTTTGACTTAGGGTGTGGGGGGTTCCTACGATTCCCCCAAATTAGTCTGATCTTTGTAAAAAAATCTGCCAGATTCATACTCACACTAAACATATGACTAAGCATGAGTTCATTGTTTCCTTTGACGTTATCATGGGGAATCTTTTCCCTGGCCTTCAACTGCCTGGAGAAGAGGTCTCCACAGTCAGCACCAGAAATGGGTGTTTTCTACCAACATGGCCTTGCACACAGTAATCTAGACACCAGAGTCTTAGAGGATTGCTTTTAATGAAAGCATACACTTATCCATACCTATGTTCTCCTTCAAGCTAAAGACTAGATTGACAGTGTGCTGGCTTACTTATACTCAGCAGCCAAAATCAATGACTACCACCATCCCCCAAGAAAGAAAAAAACTTACCCAACAACAACAAGAAGAAGAAAAAAAATGGGGCTTAATTATTTGATCAGGAGCAAGAGAAATTATCTGTAATGATTGAATAATCTCAGTAATGACTGTTTATAGCCCTACATAAGTTTTAAAACTTTCCCAGTATTTCTTTGATCAATTAAAATCCACTTCAAATATTATTACAACGTATCTAATGCTTGCGAGTCATCTTTCTGGAGTTGATATTTCAGAAGCCTATTGTTCATGAGCACCATTTTCTGGGGAAAGTCGGAAACACAGGAACTCTAAAGCAAACACTTGCCTTCAGCACACATGGAGATCGTCATCTCCAACTGGCACAAATAATAGAAATTAACCAAGAAATAATGAATCGCCGGTAGCCAGAAAATAACTGAAATGAAAAAGAGATTAAGAGGGAGTTTGCTAAGTGAGCATTGCTTTGGGGAAGAAGAAATGGGCAGCTTTCTTACAACTTAGAGGAGGCAAGAGATAAAGAAACTGGTGGGCTCTGTAGACCAACGCTGTACGAGAACAGAAAGAGTAAAGAAGGAATTAGTGGGTACTTGACAAAAGGAAGAAGAAGAAAATGGGGTGTGTGGGGAAGAAGGGGAGCAGGCAAGAGGAGGGGAGGAGTTTTATAGACGGTTTTTATCAGAATGATGAAGCACATGATGAAGGGTCAGGTGACGTCACGTGTGAGAAAGCAGAACATAGAAATGTGATTCAGTTTTGGTATTGAGCTTCTCTCTTGTCATATGTGATGCCTGGACTAGTCTTCCTCCAAGGGTTTTTGGTTGGGTTTTGTTTGTTTGTTTGTTTGTTTGTTTGTTTTGCTTTTGTCTCCTGTCCTGGCTGGCAAAGTGTCTGCTCTCTCACTAAGGAGGCTGCTCTCTGTCTTCCCTCCTTTCTTCCCCTCATACTTAACTGAACTTTCTTCCTTGCCTAATTAATCCACAGTGAGCAATGAACCCACCCACCCCATCGTGTAATGCATACTAAAAGGAAGAATTCCTTACTAGCTTTATTCTGAACTTACTTACCTGGCTCTGGGTGAAGTGTTTTGCCTGAGTCGTCCTCCCCCCACATTCCTCCCCCGTATTCTCACAATCAGTCAGTGAAGCAGACCCATCATTATCCTGACTTTAGAGACAAGGACTCCCAGATTGAATGGCTAGGTGGCTTGCTTGCCAGTTGCAAGGGCATTTGAACTTGGGGCAATCTAATGAAACTCATGCCTCCCTACCCAGCACAGGTTGCTAGCTGTTCCGGTGTTGTGGGGCGTGAAGACAGGCAGATCCCTGTCATCTGCTCTCTGCCTACAAAGTTTCATCTGACGTAGCAGTGCCAAAAAGTGCCACCTTCGTCTTTCCCCAATGGCTAAGACACAGGAAGTTAAAGTTACTATAAAGAAATTCCTGTGTCAGCATGCCCAGCCTGAGTGCGTCAGGGTCAAATCCTTTCTGTGCGCCTGCTTCCATGGTTCTGTTTTCTAGTCTGTTCTCAATTTGCCTTCACTAACATGTTTCCCTCTTGGCCAGAATCCCTCCCTCCATCACATGGTCTATTGTACCAGGCAGGGTTCTCTGACAGAACTGGGAACTGATAGAATAGTTTTATATACACTCAGCAGGGTTTATTGGAGTGACTTACAGGCTCAGGTCTGAGTAGTCCAATAATGGCTGTCTCCTGACAGAAAGACCAAAACCCCATTAGTTGTTCAGTCCATGAGACAGCAGTTCCTTTCTTGTGCAGGAAAATCCTAGAGAGCTGTGTGCTTCTAGTCTATGTTAGAATCCTAAAGACCTGGGTTCTAACACTAAAGAATGGTTGTCTTGGTAACAAGCCAGATGAACTTGCCAGTCAGAGTGAAGAACTAGCAGGTAAAATGAAAACTCTTCCTTTTTCCATGTCCTTTTATGTGGGCTGCCACCTGATGGTGTAGCCCAAATATAGTGTGGGTGTTCTCCTGACCTCAGATTATCTGGATTTAGTGTGGGTCTTCCAATTCAAATAGTACAACCAAGATAAATCTCTCAAAGGCGTGCCAAACTGTTTGGATTTTAGTTAACCCAAATGTGATCAAGTAGACTCCCAAGATTAGTTAGCATAGTTATTAAGACAATATATGAAAGAATGAAGACCCAGGGGCTCCATGAAGTAGTCAATCCAATATGAGAGTTGGCCTGGAGTTGGTCACTTTCGAGACAGGTAACTTAAACATCTTCAAATTAGAACATTGGTGAAGAACAGAACTTGCTAGCAAAATAATAAAAAAATTTAATGGCCAAGAATATGGTTTGTCTCAAGTATTTGAAATAAAGCATGTGTCCACATATCGTCAAGTGAGTTCCATCTCCTTTAAAGAAAAATGGTCGACATAAACTTGTGATGAGATCAGCCCTCGAGGGAAAGCTGTTATGGATTGAGAACATAGATCCCATTAGATGAGTAAACAGCTAAAATCTGGTCACACACACACACACACACACACACACACACACACACACACACCAAAATGGCCCTCCAAGACGAAGTGTTCTCTACTACTTGGAAAAAACAGCAGAAAAGAGAAAGGCATTGTTTTTTTTTTTTTCCTTAAAAAAAAAGTAATAGATGGATTTCTCCATTTAGTTAATTGGCAGCAAAAATTGTCTTAAACTCTGCAGGGACACTAAAGGGACTGTCCGCAAAGAGTGAGCTGAGGGCCACTAATATCCTGAAACCAAGAACATGCCGAAAACATCCATAGACATCCATGGGGCTGCATACGTTGGTGGCAACTTCACCGTCTTTCCAATGACAGCATCGAGTCTCCAGGACACAGTGGAAGAAAAGAAGGAATTTTATAAACCTAGGTGAATACAGGTGGTGCTGTGATCTCAGCATTTTACTAATAAAAGACTTGCTCATCTCTTCACTGTGTGTAAAACGTAGCACAAGGGTCACATGGTCTAAGTACCGTGTGACTCAGCTATGCGCTAATAGTGTGCCCGCTGGCCTGTTTCTCAACAGCTCCCTCTTAGGTCCTAACTCCTAAAATACCATCTTCATCATAGCCTTCCTAGAGGCTTCAATAATACAATCTCTTTCTGATGTACACGACAGAATCTAGTACATAGAAAGGGCACCAGACATATGACTTAGTATCATTTGATAACCCTGCGGGTAAACATAGATGTTTCTGGATTACTACCTACCACAATTAGCACATCAAGAGGCGTATGAAGGTGTCAGTGAAATATACACCAATAATCACATTAAGGAAAGTAAATTATTTTTAAAAACATGAGAAGCACAGGAAGGCCTTGTGGCCTTCAATATTCTAGAATTTGAGATGTCAAATGATGATGTGTGTAATAGTTTGCCATGAGTCACAAATCCACCTGAAGATGCTGCATTCATTTAAACTGATATTTATCATCAAAGATGGCGCCTCACGCTGTAACGGCATAACAAAAGAGCACAAAATGTGTTTAAAACAATCCCCTCTCCTTCCCAAGCCTGTCAGCCCATTCAGGCAATGGACGTGGAACCCCCACTTTGCACTGTCCCCTTGCAACCTTCGCCACATGTTCATCACCCAGGGTGGAGGCTCTGGGTGAGGAAGATAGTTGATATCCTGACACTTCCATTTTGTCCCCTGACTGTGACAGCTTCTGCCATTACATATAACCTTACTTTTTTTAAAAAAATATTTATTTATTTACTATGTATACAATAGTCTGTCTACATGTATGCCTTCAGGCCAGAAGAGGGCACATAATCTTACTTTTAACTGGAGGGAAAAAGAAGTTGTTTGACCACCTAAGCAGTCAGCTTTTAGAACGGTAAAAACTAACTCCACATGGACATTTATTCTCTCAATTACTGCAAGGCAGAAACATGAAGAATGAAGAACCTGCCTTCCAAACGTATAGGTAAGTCTGGAAAAGAAGCCATTCCAAGACAAAGGGCCTCCAAGAGTTCCCTAGCAGATGGAATTCTTCCAGATCCCTGTCTGTGTTTGTTTTGTTTCCTGTTGTGATAAATATTCTGACACACGCAATTTAAGGGTAAGGAATTTATTTGGCTCACAATTCCAGTCTGTAATCTACTATTGTAGGGAAGTCAATAGAGCAGAGACTTCAACAGTTACCCACATCACTCCCCTCGTCAAGAACACAGAAGAATCTAATTAGAAGTCACGATTAGTGCTTAGCCCTGTTTCTCCACTCTTAGAGAGCCTAGCAAACCCTGCACAGGGGATGGTGCCACCCACTGTAGGCGGTCTTCCCATTATACTCAGAATAGTCCCTCACAGATAGGCCCACAATCTAACCTAATCTAAACAACCCCTCATTAGGACTTCTTCCTTAGTTAAGTCTAGATTGTATCAAGTTGACAATTAACAGTAGTTACCACAGGGTCCCTGAACCAGGGCCAAGACACCTATAGAGATGGATAAAGGTGAAATATCCCACAAAGTCTATTCAATCCCTGCAGATTTCCTCTGTTGAGTGAAGGTTTTCAGAGAGAATAAGGGAGAAAATGACTTGCTAGGAAAACTGAGAGAAAGACCCAGGACTGTGTGTCGAACCTAGGCAGAGCCAGGCCTTTTGCTTCTACCTCTGTGATTTCTGAAATATCCTTTGAAGAAATATTTCATGACAATCTTTCAAAATGTCAATCTATTTTGGAGTCAGCAAGCATGCATCTGCCTTGTTCTGGGTTGCAAAGAACTATAATTTGAGAAGTTTTACACACAAAAAATAATAAGAAAGCTGGTGACTTTCATTTTAAGAAATTCTGAAAAGGTAAGAAATGATGTATATTTTATTATTATTATGCTTTTACTACTGTATATGTGAATACAATACTTCAGATGGAAGTAAAACTTCACATATGTAAAACGAGTAGGTTCTCCCGTGCAGGGAAGACAATTCTCAAAACCATGTAAGGATTTAATAAATGGGTTCTTTCGATAATTAAAACCATTTGCATGTAAGCAACAAATTTAGAAAGTGAAAGTTAGAAGCTAAAATCAATAGCATTTCTGCCTATATCTTGTTTGGCTTTTACACGGGGCTTTTTTGATGATACAAACTCAAGTGCAGCATTTTAAAATTAGATTTCATTAAACACCCATATTTCTGTTTTTTTTTTCTAGAAACAACCCAAAATTCCAACCCCATTAGCCTCCCTTCCATCTTTTACAACCATGACATACGTGGGACGTACGTGTGAGCCTCCCTAGCCCCACCTCCACCCTATGCCCTGCACGACACGGCAGTCCCTACCACTTCCTGTTTATTGTATACGCTAGTGTCTTCCTTTCGGTGCTGCCTGCTTCTCCACCAGTTCTCTACCCTCTCACTTGAGTTTTGTCATTGATGAAATTGCCTCACCACCCTTGTCCCACAGATGTAAATATATCCCTACCCCCACTCTTTCCTCTGCTGATCTAAGTATTTACACTGAGTGTTCGATCCAGTTTTGTTTATAAATACATATCGGTGACAAGAAACATTGCTTTGCTTTGTAGTTAGGTGTGGGGACTCTAACCTCGCTGCCTGTTTGAGATCTACCTGTGCAGCTACTGGAGACAGCTCTATGGGACTCTTCCCACACCGTAGTAGCATACCTTGCTTCCTTACTCTTCTCACTTTGTCTGGGAATGGCTAAGGTCCTGAAGTTCACAAGCATGCTTTGAATAGGGCAGAAATTCCCATGTGTCTCACTAGGATAGAAGAGCTAAGGCAAAGAATACCTTTAGGACAGGAGTGAACCTTCAGGACAGGAGTGAACCTTGAAACAGCCGACTTACCCAACAGCGCTTCCTAGGTATTTGATATGCATCTGAACATACCTTAGCCAGCGTTACATGAGGAACTTCGACCCTTTCAAAGGGTTTTCCCCAGTGTGTTTCCCATCTCAGCACAGGGAAGGTCCAGTGTTCTAGACATTCAGGCCGTGTCCTGTGAAGTCATTTGTGCTAGTTAGTTTTGCCAGCTTGATACAACCAAGAGTCACCTTGAAAGAAGGAACCTCAGCTGAGGAATTCCCAGATGACAGTCATCTGTGCCAGTGTCTGAGAGGGACTGTCTTGGTTGATAATGTCAGATGAGGGAGGGCCCAGCCTACCTTGGGCCTAGGCTACACAGGGAAGCCTGCCGAGCATGAGTCACCACCGATAGCAACTGTTTCTAGGAGATTGTGTTCTCACTTCCTTCACAGATGAACTGTGACCCGGAAGTGCAAGCCAAATAAACCCTTTCATCCCCAGGTTATTTTTGGTCAGAGAGTTTCATCAGAGCCACAGAAAAGTGAGTAGTACATGGTTCTTATTTTTATTAATATGTTTTATTATGATTTTATATATTATATAAACCCCATACATTTGCTTCTAAAAACTAAAAATGCAATATTACAGTAGAGCATCGTTCTTTATTCCCCATGTGCTTTTCTTCTTCCATCCTAGCCATCTATAAAACCTATCAGTTTTACACACACAAAAATTCTACATTTGGCTCACTTCTCATTGTTGCTGATATCATCATAATCAAAGGCCACGTTGCTGCTCAACTGCATTATGAGAAACATCTTACCCGGTCAGTGGTGCTCCTTTACTCTCAGCACAGCACCCACGGGATCTCTTTCTGATGATCCCTTTATGTCCCCTTCAGATGACTCTGTCACGCTGCTTCTCAAAGCCCCCAAACACATTTCCATTGGCCAGAGTAAAAGTCAAAGTTTCTGGTGTTGCTAAAGGCTCCTAAGTGATGCTCACCTTCCATTTTCACTTTGGGATGTGAAGCACCATTCAGGCATCCCACTTCAGAGGCACAGGCCTTTGTGATTGCCGCTCAAAAATACTACACTCATGCCCCAAACATGAAGGTGTGAGTTCGAATCCCCGGCACTCACACAATAGCTAGTGTTGCAGCCTCTGCTTCTAACTCCAGCTCTGGGGAGGAGGGATGCAAGGAGGAGGAAGGGGAGCAAAGGAGATCCTTGAGACTCACTGGACAGTCAGCTCTAGCCGAAGACACAAATGCCAGGTTCAGTGGAAGAAAGACGTATGTCAACATTTAACTTGGAGAGCCACAGAGGAAGACTGTCGAAGTCAATCTCTAGCTTACACATGCTCGGAAATGGGAGAACACACGTGCACATACATGCATGTATGTAATACACACACGCCGCATTCACTCCCACACCCAGGGCCTGATTTGTATTAGCTCCTTGCCTTGACTGCTTCCTCTAAAAGCCCTTGCCTCTTCCAGTTCTTTGCTACACGGTGCCTGTTTGCTGGAGTCATCCCTAGTTGCCCACTGAGGAGAACACACATGTCCACACACACACATACATTCACACACACACACCATTTTTAGGCTCTCACCATCTGGCATGTCCTGTGTCTTTGCTCACTTGTTTTTGCTTTGCTGTCGTCTTGCAGAATGCAGGCTTCTGGGAACAGGGCCTTTCATTGTACTTCCCCCCCCACCTGCTGTTTTTTAGTACCCGGAATACTTCATAGCAATGAGAGTTTCCTAATAAATATTCAGTGAGTAAATTAGGTAGAAATGCCATTATTTAAATTCTTTTCTTTCCCGAGTTAAAATCTGTAAGGCAAAATGTATGCATTCAATCATGCGCGTGTTTATACAACCTTCAGAAGTATAGCAGCCAAAATAAAAATGTTTATTTCTTACATTCTTTGGACATGACCCGCAATTTCTAGTTTATCAAAACTATGGCCCTCCACTCAGTTCCAAGCATGTGCAAAGTCTATAGATGAATAAAGAAAAGTTCGCCCTTTGAATTGTGCCATAAGGGGCTCACGCTATTTCAGAGGCTGCTCACTTGAGTCAGCTGCACACGGGATTCTCATGCATTTTAAAAAG